AAGTTCATTGATATGATTTTAGACTTTACATTGTAATTAACATTAAGGAAACAACCACTTGTCAAGTTGTGATGTAGTATTGGGGAACAGCCACAATTACCTGAAAATGCTATTATAGTAGTCTTCCCTTTTCCAACTACTTATCTGTGTGAGGCTGGATATTCTTTTTTTAATATTTATTTTTTAGACCCAGGGTCTTGCTCTGTTGCCCAAGCTGGAGTGCAGTGGTGCAATTATGGCTCAGTGGAGATTCAAGCTCCTGGGCTCAAGCCATCCTCCCATCTCAACCTCCCGAGTAACTGGACTACAGGCACGTGCCACGATGCTGTTTTTGTTTTTCTTTCTTTTGTTTTGTTTTTTAATTTTTACATCGACAGAGTTTCACTATGTTGATCAGGCTGATCTCGAACTCCTAGATTCAGGTTGGCCTCCCAAAGTGCTAGAATTACAGGCATGAGCCACCATGCTATATTCTGTTATGCACATATTAAAGACACTTGCAAAAATGTGGAAAATGACACTCTTCCCACTAATTTGTTTTTAATTTGTAAACCATAGTCATTTTCAATGAAAAATGTCTTTATGTTAACATGTAATGGGATAATTCTTGTTATTTTTAGATAAATTAATAATTTAAGAATTTTGTTTTAGTTTTTAATATGATAAATATCAATAGATATAACCTATACAAACAAAATTTCCTTTTGGTATTTTGTAATTTAAGATTTTTCAAAGTTCCAAGACAAAAAAAATTAAGGATCAGTCATTTATAGCAGATATCACCAGCTTACATTCTATTCTATATTTTTAGTTATTGTTTATTGTCTGTCTCCATCTATCAGATTATTAGCCATGAGAAGACAGCTATATCTGTCTTGTTTGTTAATATCTTCTGTGCCTAAAAGAATGACTGGCATATACTAGGTGCTTCATAAAAATATTTGTTGACATGAATGAATCTTAGTTTTAAGGATTAAGAAATGGCATCTGAAAGAGGTTTTCAGTTATGTACCTAAGGTCACATCACTAGTAAGTGACTGAGGAAGCATTCAAATACAGCTTTGTCTAATTTCAAAGCTCATGCACTTAATTAAATTATTCAATGAAATTGCCTCTGCAGTGAGGATTTGGAGGTGGTCTTATCACAGCGATATTTAGCCTTAATGTCAAAAGACTTGTAGTCTTTACAAACTTCTATAGTATTTTGTCTTAGACATGAAATTATTATAAAACTACAAAGAACTTTAGAGGGTATTTCAACTTCTCACAGAGTTGGGTCATACAGTTACTTATTTATACAACTAAGGGACTGAGCCCCAGAGCTTCCATCCATACCCATTAGGGCAATATGTTGTGGAAACAAAGTCATGAGAATCACATGAAGTTACTTTCATTTCTTCTGCCTCATCCCAGATTTCTTTTCTAAAATCCCAGATGATAAGTAAAGGCATGGAAGAAATGGAGCCTGGCATGGTAAATTGAGGGCTCTGACTTTCTGACCCCAGCAAATCTATTTTTCCATCACTGACGATTAGGCCACACATCCTTTAGAGGTGTGCCTTGATCAATGACACCCAGCTACACAAAGCAGGCCCTGCCCTCTGAGTGACCACTTCATCTAAAATGGATGCAAATTCTAGCTTTTCCTGTACTAAGCCAAGGTGCAGTGTATAGGTCTTTAGAGACCAAGGTTCTTTGGTAAGGCCCTTGCCAAGTCTCTTTTGTAATTGAATTGCTTTTCCTTTACATTTGATACTTAAACCAACAAATAAAAATGTTTTATTTCCAAATCAGTTCAAATGTTGCAAGGCAGCAACCAGAGCAAATGTGACTCAAATCATCACTAAAGAATATGTTCATGGGAATGTGTACATGAAACATAGCTGAGTAGTTGTAGAATATAATAAAAAGGGGCACTGTGCCTCCTATACTTTGCTGTCACTGTGCTCAGGGCAATACCTATTTCACACCAATTCCAATGCCCAGGGAAACATCCGTGATCAGTGCTGGCTTTAAGCACTGAGTGGCTACTTAGGGTGGTAAGCTCCCCAGCTTCTAGCATAGAGCAGATGATCAATAAATAATCATTGAATGACTAATTTTCCACAATGCCAGTACATATTTCAAGCATTCACCATGAGTACGGCCCCTCTAATCTGGAAACAATATGCTTATGCTGAAGATCCAACAAATCCTGCAGTCTGTAGCACAGAAGGTTAAATTCATAAATCCTGGAGGTTTATGTACTTCTGTTTGTAAAGATGATAATATTTTACCTTTAGAGAGATGTTACATCCAGATCACTGCCGTCAGATGAAAATATCGACTTAGCCTACAGCCCTACTACAAAATATAAAATCGTAACATCTAGAGAAAACAAACACATTGTCATTTGGAGGGAGGGGTGTGGTTAGGAAAGCAACAAATAAGCCAGATAATTAACTCAAATTGACTTAATAGAAGGTTTAAAGTATCTTAATTGCTACTGTCTGAATGTGTTTCCCCGAAATTCATGTGTTCAAACCTAATCACCAATGTGATAGTATTAGGAGGTAGGACCTTGGGAGGTGATTAGGTCATGAGGGGAAAAACCCTCATGATGGGATTAATGCCCTTATAAAAGAAGCCTCAGATGAAAGTTGGGGTGAAATCGCAGCATATAGCAGATGCTACAAGATCATACCACTGCACTCCAGAGCAAGACTGTCTCAAAAAAAAGAGGCCTCTGAAAGCTGTCTTGCACCTTCCACCATGTGAAGGACACAGCAAACAGTTGCCATCTATGAGCCAGAAAAGGGGCCCTCACCAGACACTGCATCTGCTGGTGCTTTGATCCTGGACTTGCCAGCCTCCAAAATCATGAGAAATGGATGTTTGTTTATAAGCCATCCCATTTATGGTATTTTCTTATAACAGCCTGAATGGACTAAGCACAAGTTATTGCATTTTGTAGTTATTTTTCCCCACCCTTGGTATTACTCTTTTATTTCTGTATTTCAACATATGTATTATCCAGACATTAGCACAAACTAAGTGCTTAATAATTTTTGTTGAATTAACTTAATACACTGGTTCTCCCATTACGGTTTGAGGATCCCTGGAGGCAATGGTGTGCTGGAGCAGCTTCTATCATCTCTTAAGGACCCACTGTCAAATTTTATTTTTTATTATTATTTAGTTTAGTTTTTTGAGATGGAGTCTTGCTCTGTCACCCAAGCTGGAGTGCAGTGGTGCAATCTAGGCTCACTGCAAGTTCCACCTCCCTGGTTCACACCATTCTCCTGCCTCAGCCTCCCAAGTAGCTAGGACTACAGATGCCCTCCACCACGCCTCGCTAATTTTTTTTTTTTTTGTAGTTTTAGTAGAGACAGGGTTTCACCATGTTAGCGAGGTAGGTCTTGATCTCCTGACCTCATGATCTGACCGCCTCGACCTCCCAAAGTGTATATTTTATTTTATTTTAAGTTCCAAGATATATGTGCAGGATGTGCATGTCTGTTACATAGGTAAACATGTGCCATGCTGGTTTGCTGTACCTATCAACCCATCACCTTGAGATTAAGCCCCACATGCATTAGCTATTTATCATGATGCTCTCCCTCCCCCAAACCCCAATAGACACCAATGTGTGTTGTTCCCCTTCCTGTGTCCATGTGTTCTCATTGTTCAGCTCCCACTTACGAATGAGAACATGTGGTGTTTGGTTTTCTGTTCCTGTGTTAGTTTGCTGAGGATAATGGCTTCCAGCTCAATCCATGTCCCAGCAAAGGACATGATCCTGTTGCTACTTATGGCTGCATAGTATTCCATCATACACATGTACCACATCTTCTTTATCCAGCCTATCACTGATGGACATTTAGGTTGATTCCATGTCTTTGCTATTGTGAATAGTGCTACAATGAACATATACATGCATGTATTTTTATAATAGAATAATTTATATTCTAATATCCTGAATCTACAAGGAACTTTAACAAATTTACAAGAAAAAAAAATACCCTATCAAAAAGTGGGCAAAGGACATGAACAGACACTTCTCAAAAGAAGACATTTATATGGCCAACAAACATGAAAAAATACTCAACCTCACTGATTAATAAGGAAATGCAAATCAAAACCACAATGAGATACCATCTCACATAAGTCAAAATGGCGATTATTTAACAATCAAGAAACAACAGATGCTGACGAGGCTGTGAAGAAAGAGGAACACTTTTACACTATTGGTGGGAATGCAAATTAGTTCAACCATCGTGGAAGACAGTGTGGAAATTCCTGAAGGATCTAGAACCAGAAATATCATTTGACTCAGCAGTCCCCACTGTCAAATTTTAAAGAATTTTGTGAGTCAGTCCTTAAACATAATCATTATTAAAAAGTATATTATAAAAACATTCAATTAAATTATATTAACATAAAGATAATAAATATTCACAACCCATCATTTCCTAATCATTTTACTACAATCTTGTTAGGCTCTTGCAGTTATTTCTAGCTATTGTATTTGTATGGTAGAAACACTATATAATAATGTGCTACTGCCTGTCTTTTCCCAACTTTGCATTATCAGCCATGTTGGGAGTATTTACACCAGAGAAACTGGCAGTGCTACAAAGTGGCCTTTCTCTCCTTCAATAATGAACTGGTTTTTAAAACACTGTCCACAAGTGGAGCAGCACACCACTTACTGAGAGTTCTCAAGAACCTTTCCGGTACTAGGTCCTCTCTTTTTGTATGAGTGGCTAGATTTCTTCATGTATGTTAATCAAAGTAACACTCTAAAACAGATTGAATGCAGAAGCAGAGATGAGACTCCGACTATAAGTTCCCCATTAGTTTTCAAAAAATGGAAATCTATATATCTCTTCTCATTAATTTTCCTCATAAAAAAGAGTTATTTGGGTTATCATATAATGTTTTACTATTTTAAAATGAATTAGTATTTTTATTTCTAATTTTGCATTTTAGTATGATAAATAGTGATAGATACAACTCACAAAAATGAAAGTCCTTGGGGTCCTCAATAATTTACAGTGTGAAGGAGACTGAGATCAAAAGTTTTCATTTTTCAACGCAGTTAATTCCACACCTCGCTTTTTTTGACTTGGCGTAGTTAAACCAGAAAAGCAGGTCTGTATTCTTACGGCTTTGTGACCTTGGTAAGTTAATTCTTTACCTCTTCAAATCTTCATTTCTCCAACTGTGAAAAGGCAATGTTGGAAAAGATTTTGTCTCAATGAATCATTTTTTTTTGCTTTTAGCTTCTGTAACTACGAGAATTATAAACGAGCTTTGCTCCTAGCTTGAGGGCAGTACAATTATTTCTGCTTTGTCATCCTTTTTGTACCTCCAAATCCCATCATCACTGTCTTTAACAATCTGTTCTGCCTAAACTCCTCCCCCCACCAAAGATTTTTCATTGCATTACATCACTGTGCAGTAATTACAGAAGTTACTATTTCCAGCTGTCAAAAAAAACAAACAAACAAAACAAAACAAAACCGTTCTGCACTAAACTGCATGCATGCAGCACATACAAAACACAGTGCAGACCAAGAAAATGCCAGTTTAGTGTCACCCCATCCATCAGGTGGAAAAATGAAATGCCTAAAGCAGGCACTGCGACCGAATTTAATAAAGCATACTATTACTCAGGCCCTGCCTTGCATCTCCTCACTGAAGCGGAGTGAAATAGAAAGACATGTGCTGCCTATGCAGTTTCTCTTTTCTGTGAAAACACCACGGATTGGTATCTGCTTGGCGTCCTTAACGAATGTGTGAATATGTGTCTTAATTCCAGGTTAGTGCGCGTCTGGTTTGCCTCCGAAATGACTGCGGCAGAATACAAACAATGTATAAAATAAAAAGCCTTTGCCAAGTGCGCCAAGACTACAGCCTTCACTTACGAATCACATCTCCGTCTCCTTTCCCTTTACGCACCCGCAATAGGATCAACATGTGAAATCGCACCCCAGTCTGCCGGGAATTTGATTTCCACTTCCCCTCCCAACATCAAACCACCACGAAAACCAACCCTTCCGGGCGCGAAGCTGCACGTAAGGTGGGGAAGGCAAAGAGACTGCGCGGCGAGCGCGCACTGTGGGGCGCGCCCGCTTCCCGCCGCAGACCCCGGAGTGAACTGCGCTCCACGGAGGCCTGTGCTGGGAAGAAGCCGAGGAGTAAGAGATGCGATAAAATGGCTGCCAGGAGGGGGTTGCTCTGTGCTAAGGACAGCATGCCCTCCCCAAGGGATCCAGTGTGCTCCCAGCCAGCCTCCTGGCAGCGGCCGAGACGCCTCACATTTGGGGCGCATCCCAAGGCCAAGGCGAGGCGACTTTCACAGCTTCATTTAGCTCTGCAGAAGGTCACCTCCGTCCCCACCCCCATGCGGCACGTGCGGCAAGGCATCGCCATGGCAACCTTGCTTTCCGCCCCTCTCTCTTGTTATTGAACAGCTGAGACACCCAGCGTCCCTGAACTTGTTACTGCACAAGTTAATGCGGTCCTCTGAGGGCTTGGTTTCCTAAGTATTGTTCTTTGGGCAACTGACTGCTTCCTGAAACAAAAAAAACAAAACAAAACCCTACTCGTGTGTCTCAGACGTTCTCCCCACCACTCCTGGCCACAAATGTGAGCGAATCCGGTCATTCTCCTCCTAGGAAGCCCAACAGAATAAGCTGGAAGGAAGCAAGGATTCAAGTCCAACCGTGATTTACTGACACTAATGTTGTCACCATTTTGACGTTTGCAGCCTTCAGTTTCACTAGATATAAACCATTAATAGTTATATGACTACCTCTCTCATATATGGTTGGTGAGTGAGTAAATTGATGCAATCTTCCTGTAGGCAAATTTTTCAAGAAATAAAGAGGCTTGAACAAAATATAGCTACAAAGATACTCATAGCAGCAAATGTTTATAATTGTTTCTAAATCAAGCTAAATGTAAGAAAACAGTTGGTTAAAGTAATGAATACAATGAGATAACCACTGGGTGACACGATTACAGGTGACTTTTTCTTATTCTTTGTTTGACAGTGGTAAGAATTATATAAGAACAAAAACATGTTTTGTTTTATTGTTTCAACAGGTCTGATGTGGTTTATAAACATATAAACGGATCATTACTTATAGATTATACATAAAAATGTTTTCATCAAAGGAAAGTGTGAAGATTAAAATGGAAGAGCTCTGGATCACTTAGATCATTTGTTATTGTTTTTGTTTTTTTTCCCCCCTCAGATGGCAAAGTATTTGCATTTGGTTTGGGAAAAATTATTTTTAATTATTTATGTTCTACCAAAGAAAACAAAATGATTTTCCATTGAACACATGATAATATTAAGTAATACTCAAAATCATCTTATTGTCATAAACCATTAAGGATAAAGGCTTTCATTTTGTTCTTGTTCTCTGGCTATAGAATTTCAGTTCAAAGAGCAGTTGTTGTTTTAAAATGGAAATTCATGAGTGCTGAGAAGCCTGGCTGCAGAGCCAGATTGTGCTCAAAGTGGAATCTTTCAAAACCGCCTTATCTGAGGTCCCTGCACCCCGGCCCTGAAACAGCAGGGAGTAGCTTGTCATCTCATTTACACAGAACTGCATGATCCTTCAGGGTAACCACTTTCTTCCCACTGTAAGAGTGAACCTGGCTGTTGTCAAGTAGCCTGTAAGAAGCCCTGCAGTATCACACTAAAGACACCTCATCTCTGAAGAGGGCTCAGGGAGAGCCCAGGCCTGACCAACAGTTGCAATTAAATCAGGACCTTTTAAGGCTTGGAAAATGCTCACTGTGAATTATTCTGAAAGAAAAAAAAAAATCATAGACCTGGGCAAAAATTTAGCGATGCGAATTTAGTTTTTATACTATTTTATAATAGTAAAATTTTAGAATCCACATAAATGTCAAAGAACTAAAAATAAATCTGTGTTACAGCTGGATGATAAAACTATATGCAGCCATTAAAATTGAACATATAGGAGAATATGCAGTCATGTGGGAAAGTGTTCATTGTGCCATGTTAAGTGAAAAGAAAGGCATGTTAAAAATAGAATGTTCATCATGACCCAATTTTTATAAAATATTTTGTAATGCATGCAAGATTTAATGTGTTACATACATCACTCAAAATTTAAGCTCCAAAATTGTGGATTGCCAGTTGTATTTTTTCTTTTTATTTTTCCTTCTCTAATAAGTCCATTAATAATAAGGTATTAATGGCTAAGTGATTGTTAATAGGGCATTAATGAGAGAGGGTGTATTTTATTAGTACCCAGGAAATGGTACTACACACTCTGATGACTTTTCAGGAATGCGTTTTGCAGACACTTCAGAACATTTCCAAAGCATACATTTTATAAGCTTAGTAATTAGAGGATGATTGATTGCCTGAGTCACATTACCCACTTCACATATCCATTCATCTGGACTAAAGCGTTTACACCTTGTGTTTCTTTCCAACCTAAGTTTTAGAGCAAATGTAACACAATTTTCCTGAAGACATCTGTTTACAGCATTGAAAAGATTAAATCAAGCTAAGGATTGTCCAGGCACCTAGTAAGCACATTCTATACTCAGAGTGCACGTGTGCTCTGGATTCAGGTCTGATTTTCCATAACCCCTCATTTATAATTGGAGAAGCAGTTGCCCACATGACTCTCTAATGGAAAATCCACAAAGGCTGTCCCCTCAGGGTGGATGGCCAAGCTTTGCAGCCCAGCCCGGTGGGCCCTTTATTTCCTGGTTCCTGCTAACCTCTTCATGTCTCAACCCTGCCTTTCCCACCTCCTGTGCTCAGTCGCAGTGAGACTATCACAGTGAACACAAATGGAATCTTCCTATGTGCTGGACATTTTTTATGGGATAGGTATTACTCTAATATTATTCCTCCCATTTTACATATGGAGATGCTGAGGCATGGACACATCAATCTCATCATTCACAGTTCCTATCATTTACAGTTAATAAGGATTAAGATGTAAACCCAGGAAGCCTGGCTCTTGTTCATAAGTGTTATATCTCCACCCAGGTAATATGTAGATTCCCAAATGAATTATTAGCTTCAATGACTTTCTGCTTCAACCTTTCTGTATAGGCTCCTTCTATGTAGAAGTTCTTTCCATTTAGCCAAACTCTGATTCTTCTTTCAAAACACAGATGTCATAGATCTCCTCTGGAAAGTCTTCCTCAGTGCTCCCATATGTGCCTCCATTATGGTTCTTATCACCTTGCTGTAAAGCATGATTTACCTCCTGCCTCCGCCATGTGTCTTCAAAGACAAGTTTCAAATTTCTATTAGTTTTTATAACTCCAGTGCCCAGCACAGTGTCTCTGACACATAGGTGCTACTTAATCACTGATGCATGTATGAATGATTATGAACAGCACCATAGAGTTCTGCTTGCCCAAAACTATCATCTTCAACGTCACACCATAACAGCCAGTGTAACACCATTGGAGTTGGTGTTATGCAAACAAACACTGGATAGGTACCCACAAGAACAGTGCAGTGCCAGCTCCTAAAGAACAGCCTTTTTCTTGCTGGGCTCTAGTTAAATGTGGACATATTCTTTGGAAGGGGAGAGAGAGTGTTAAGAAGAACTATTAAGATATTATCAGGCATTATTTTTGACAATTTGTCAGGTCCCCAGAATGGTGGGACAGAAGATGAGTAAATCTGGTATCAGGCTTAGGGCTTGGCCAAGAAAACACACCTGTTAATAGGGCACTGTACTTTGCAACTAACACAAAGAACCAGAGATGTCTACCTAGGACAGTTGACACTTCCCCTGTCTCACAAGTTTCATGAAGACAGTCTTGAAATTCACGGCATATTCATGTCAATGTTCTTAAATAGTTAATGATTATTTTTGCTCATTTTAGCCAGGGCACTAGTAGGACAGACTGAAGCAGTGGAAGACAACTGATATTTATGCACTAAAATCAATACTTAATGAATATTCAACATAAAAGCATGTTTCTGCTTGCATCATTCTTATTTACTATTTGCATCATTTTCCTGTTAATGTCTGTATCTTTTTTTTGCCAAACAGTTTATTATTATTATTATTATCATCATAATTATTATTTAGTTCTGGGACACATGTGCAGAACGTGCAGGTTTGTTACATAGGTATACATGTGCCACGGTGGTTTGCTGCACCCATCAAACTGTCATCTACATTAGATATTTCTCCTAATTCTATCCCTTCCCTAGCCCACCCCTTGAGAGGACCCGGTGTGTGATGTTTCCCTCCCTGTGCCCATATGTTCTTATTGTTCAACTCCCAGTTATGAGCAAGAACATGCAGTGTTTGGTTTTCTGTTTCTTTGTTAGTTTGCTGAGAATGATAGTTTCCAGCTTCATCCATGTTCCTGCAAAGGACATGAGCTCATTCTTTTTTATGACTGCATATTATTTCATGATGTAGATGTGCCACATTTTCTTTATCCAGTTTATCATTGATGGCCTTTTGGGTTGGTTCCAAGTCTTTGCCATTGTGAATAGTGCTACAATAAACATATGTGTGCGTGTGTCTTTACAGTAGAATGATTTATAATCCTTTGGGTATATTCCCAGTAATGGGATTGCTGGGTCAATTTCCCCTATTTAATAAATGATGTTGGGAAAATTGACTAGCCATATGCAGAAAACTGAAACTGGACCCCTTCCTTACGCCTTATACAAAAATTAACTCAAGATGGATTAAAGACTTAAATGTAAGACCTAAAACTATAAAAACCCTAGAAGAAAACCTAGGCAATACCATTCAGGATGTAGGCATGGGCAAAGACTTCATGACTAAAACATCAAAAACAATTGCAACAAAAGCCAAAATTGACAAATGGGATCTAATTAAACTAAAGAACTTCTGCGCAGCAAATAAACTATCATTAGAGTGACCAGGAAACCTACAGAATGGGAGAAAATTTTTGCAATCTATCCATCTGACAAAGGGCTAATATCCAGAATCTACAAGGAATTTGAACAAATTTACAAGAGAAAAACAACCCCATCAAAAGGTGGGCGAAGGATATGAACAGACACTTCTCAAAAGAAGACATTTATGTGGCCAACAAATGTATGAAAAAGAGCTCATCATCACTAGTCATTAGAGAAATGCAAAACAAAGCCACAGTGAAATATTATCTCATGCCAGTTAGAATGGCGAGCATTAAAAAGTCAGAAAACAACAGATGCTGGAGAGGATGTGGAGAAATAGGAATGCTTTTACACTGCTGGTGGGAGTGTAAATTACTTCAACCATTGTGGAAGACAGTGTGGCAATTCCTCAAGGATTTAGAACCAGTAGTGCCTGTATTTTTATTAAAGTAAAGACATTATCTCAAATATCTTTTGGAATAAAACAGGGAATAAATAATTGTATAAAATGAAAATAAACATCCTGTTGTTTCACTTTGAGGAACTGGTTTAAACTTTCCTTTGAGCATTTAGGTTTATTTGTGATGACGTTTATAATGGAATCGAGTATGTGCTTCACAGATGTCAAAACAAATGCTTTGAAAGAAAGTGTCAAAATCCCAGGAGCCTCATGTCCACTGATTTGGAAGAAAACAAAATTATTTTCATCCAAACATATTTTCTGCACTTTAATTATAGAAATTGAAATATGGGATTTAAAGGTTCATTTGACCATTGTTGAAAATTTTATTTTGTGTTGTAGTGCTATTTGCACATTTAAAAAGTTCTTTTCTGAAGTTTTGCAAAGTTCTCATAGATGTCTAGTGACTCCTTGTGGAGTTTCCCTGCACACATAATAATTCACTACAAAGGTTAAGAAATCACAGAATCTCAGAGTTGAAGGGACCTTGGAAGTACTTGATACAAACTTCCACCCAGTTGGGTGTCTATTTTGCAATAGCCATGAAAGATGATCGAAAATATCTGATGACAAGAAGGAGTCTTTTGGATTGCTGCCTATTTTCTGCTCTTCTAATGGTGACAAAGAGTTACAAATCATTTTGCAGTTTTCCTGGGATTTTGCCTCAGAGATAATCATTTCAACAAGGCTTAGAATGAAAGTAAAAAGGAAGAAAATTTCACATTGGCCCAAATCTATGACTCCCATTGTGATTCTATGGAGAATTAGACTCTCATGGAAGAGTTGATTTCACTTAGAATCCAAGAAATTCACATTCCAAGTACAAAGAGGTGTGTCTAGCCCCCTGAACCCTCAA